TGTTCTAATACTTTTGTTATTGTTTTACATCAACATTTAGTCAAGTATGACACCTCTTGTTTTATAAGCTTGTTATAGATTGGCTATGTCTACATCTCCCTCGGTCACTGTATACCATAGTTAATATATGATCCTGAGCAGCAAAATAATTTTATAGTATCTCGAGCAAAATCATAAAACTATTTTTTTTCTCTTTCAGTTGGGGGACAAAGTACTTTCAAGCCTGTATTGTGTTTAGTTTATACTTAGGAGGATAGTCAATGTGTTACAAAACAAAACATGCAAAAGAACAGACTAAAACAGTGGGCAAAAGGATAAAGAAACCTTGAGAGGCAGAATGAAAAGGCAGACTGATAAAGGACAATGTATGATAGGGACTGTGGAAAAGTAGGACAGTTACCAAACTGAGAAACATCAATACATGGTGTAGACAGGTGGTGGGAGAACAGACTTGGTAATAGGGAATAAAGTAAAGGGGTACGCAAAATTAATGAGAGGTTAGAAAAATCTAGCAAAGGTGGGGTGAAACACATGTATAATGGCAGTCAGGTGTGAGGACGGATTTAAAAAAAAAGTTAAGAGAAGTGTGTAGAAAGAATAGCATAATTGAATGGGAAGTGGCAAAAGTAGAGAAGTACAGCAACAAGTAAAGAAGGACAATTAAAGGACCACTATAGTGTCAGGAAAACAAACTTGTTTTCCTGTCACTATAGGGTCCTTAGGTCCCCCCCACCCCCCCCCCACCCTCAGGGTCCCACTCCCGCTGGGCTGAAGGGGGCTGAAGGGGTTTAAACACTTACCTTTCTCCAGCGTTGGGCTCCCTCGGCGCTGGGGAACTCTCCTCCCTCTGCCGACGTCAGCACCGAATGCGCATGTGCGGCAAGAGCCACGCGCGCATTCAAACCGCCCATAGGAAAGAATTTCTCAATGCTTTCCTATGGACGTCCAGCATCCACTTTGATTTTCACAGTGAGAATCGCAGAAGTGCCTCAGTGAGACAGCCACTAGAGGCTGGACTAACCCTCAGTGAAACATAGCAGTTTCTCTGAAACTGCTATGTTTACAGCAGGCAGGGTTAACCCTAGATGGACCTGGCACCCAGACCACTTCATTGAGCTGGTCTGGGTGCCTATAGTGGTCCTTTAAATGATTGGTGAAAAAATATGATGAATAAAGAGACTGTTAGAGAGAGGTAGAAGAAAAACTAGAAGAGGAGGTGTGAAAATACACTTGTGAGGAGGCAGAGATATAATCTTTCATCAAAATGGATATTTGCTTAGGGCTATCTAATCCTTACCCAGGCCCTGGTGTCCATAAGCAAAACATCATCATACTTTGGAAATGTTACCATTTTTTGTAGGTATTTTGACTCTTTATTTCCACTAATAAAGCCAATCCAGATATTTCTCACCCCACTAACCAATGCAAAAATAAAGTTTAACTTCGTGTTAGGTATTTTTGTTCGTGTTAGGTATGTCCCCATGCTTTTACATTGTATGTTTGATCTGATTCTAGAATCTCAGGAGCTATCTCACGAAACCTGTGCCTCTAGCATCTGGATAGTAAATAACTACTTTGCTTGCCATACTCAGGAGAGGTCATACACAGTGCATTGCTAGCATACACAGCAGTCAAGTGTTGCAAAACTCTGAAAAAACAAGTTACACTTGTTTTAGTATCAAAATAGAAGGAATTTTGTGAGTTAAGACAATAATGGCATGTGTCAGATTCGTGCCAATTATTTTCTTTCTTTCTGTCCTAAAAGCTTTTGATTCACTGTTCAGAACAATTTACACAATGCTTTTAGTATTACTTTAAGTCACTCTGTATTACTGTGCTTATTTTGGTGCTAGCTCTATAAAAAAAGAAGTAAAAATGCAGAAAAAATATTTTGGATTGTTACACTTTCATTAAAGTGATACATGTAAGTAGTGTAATTTAAATATACAATATATCATTTTTTATAAGTAGTATCAGTTCAGACTGATATAGTCCTGTGATGTCATTTTGATGTCATACTGAACCATGATGTCACAGAGGGGCACTATTCAGCAGGGCCGTTCAGAAACATGACCTCTCTGCAATATGTGAGTGATACACGGAGAATGCACAAATGCATCCATCGACCATTTGTTCCAGTTTTGAAGAAGTTTCCTTTTTCCAGACTTCACTTTACAAAGAATCCTTACTGATTTCTATCAAGTGGAGTGTTTTCCTGGTCTGGACCATTAGTCCGGTTACCCTCTCTGAACCTGAGCTATATGGCCTAACCATTTGACTATTTAAAGCGGCACTGTCATGCCGAACTTACCTTTCCCAATCGATTCCTCTTCTCTCCCTCTCTCAGGATTTGTTCTTCATTTCTTCCTGTCTGCTCTAGTTTTCTTTAAAACATAAGACAAAATAGGGACTATTTGTCTTATGGAGGTTTCCTACGCCTGACCATCTCTGACCAGCGGAGGAGCAAAGTATGCTTCATTTCCAGTGGTCAGAGCAATTTTCCCACAATTCTTACCTTTCTTCCGTGTTCCCGCAAAGCCTCCTTTCACTTTTCCCGAACGTCCCGTCATTTAGACAGAACGCCGGCAAAACTACCGAATTGCATCCTAACAGAATGAGAACAGTTTCTCCATTCATGTTAACAGAAAACAACAATTCCTGAGAGAGGGAGAGAAGAAGAATTGATTAAAGAAAGGTAAGTTCGGCATGACAGTGCCGGTTTAACTACTGTCTATCCAGTCCTAGCAGCCACTGGATACTCAAAAACTCAAACTACAGGGGAATATGAATGATACAGTGAGCATGCATAGAAAATAGTACAGTCCCTTGGTTCCAATACTGCTGGGGACACAAAGTCCCCAAACTCTCTGGACTTAATAGAACTGCAATCCGCCCACCTTTCAACTCAGTAAAGGAACACACTACAGCAGGGGTTCCCAATTCATTTTTCCCATGGAACCCTTTGACATAGTGTAACAACATCGTGGAACCCACCTCTGTGTGTATCTGTGTTTGTATGTGCCAGTGTGTGTGTATATATATATGTGTGTCAGTGTGTGTGTATGTATCTGACACACAGATACACATACACTGGCATATAGTGGCACACAGATACACACACTGACACACAGACACTCACACCTTGACACACAGATACACGCACTCAGATGCACACAGTGACACATATTATTATTATTATTATTTTATTATTTATATAGCGCCAACAAATTCCGTAGCGCTGTACAATGGGTGGACTAACAGACACATAATTGAGATCAGACCACTGACGTACAGGAACAGAGGGGGTTGAGGACCCTGCTCGATGAGCTTACATGCTAAAGGGAGTGGGGTATAGTGACACAAAGGGTTAAAGTAGGGGAATTAAATAGTTTGTTACAGACACACATCTTGACTCACAAATACACACATTCTGACATATGCACACACTTGCACCCACAGATACACACACTGGCACATACACACACTGACATACACACACACACACATAGGCACATACAAACACACTGATATACACTGGCACATACACACACACACACACCAATACACACATACTGACATACACACACATACTCAGATACACACAGTGACACATACACAAACCTTGACACACAGATACACACACTGACACACACTCAGACACACATACTCTTTGACAGACACACATACACTCTCCTTGACAAACACACATACTCTTTGACAGACACACATACAAACACATATACACTCCCACTGACAAGCACACATACATTCTCACTGACAAACCCATACACACTCACACACTCACTGACAAGCACACATACACTCTGACTGACAAACACACATACACACACACTTACTGCCAAACACACACACTCTCAGTGAAAATCACACACACACACACACACACACACACTCACTGACAAACACACATATAAACTCCTTAACAGACACACACAATTTATTTATTTTTGTAAATTTCACTCCACCCAGCCTCCCTACCTTTGGGAGTGCTGGCATGGAGTCTCTATTTCCCTGGGATCAAATGGAGCTGTTGGGCTGCGCAGCTGGCGTGCAGTCCCTGGGGTCCAGTGGGGCTGCTGGGCTGAGCAGCTGGCATGCAGTCCCTGGGGTCCGGTGGGGCTGCTGGACTGAGCGGCTGGCGTACGAGTGTACAGTGCGGTCGGCGAGGGAGCAGTGATCTTACTGCTCAGCTCCCTCGCTGTGCACGCGAGGTAGCTGCGTAGGGGAGAGTGCTCACTCGCCGCCCACGGCCATTTTGTTTCCCAACATTTTGGTGGTACACCAATTGGGAAATGCTGCACTACAGAATGCATTAAGAGGGGGCATCTCGCCTTATTACACAAAGAAAATGAAGTTTGACCTTACCTTCTGATATGTTTCCATTCATTGTGTCTACTCTGTTTTTGGTTGCTGTGTTTTCCTTTCTTTATGTCCCAAATATTGTACATGATGTAAGGAAGACATACATATATCTTTACCTTCTTTCTGTTTCTAACTGTATGGTCTGCAAACTACATTAGCCTTGTAATGAATTTATAAACCCATTTTTGAAAATAAATATTTAATTACAAATGCAACATTACCAAACAGTCTCTTCTTTGAGACTGTTAAACAAACCCTTCAGCACGATAACAACTTTACTGAAATTAAGTTGTTATGGTGCAAGGTGGTCCATAGCGCTGGCTTAACTTTAGAGATTAAACCATTCACAAATTATTTAACCCCAAAGTCTTGCATCCAGCCGCATTTAGCTCTAACTCCTTTACTTCTGCTTCTCTGAGACTCTTGAAAGAGGAAGCCTCTGACATGAAAACATCTTGACCAAAAATATATGCATTCCTCACGCTGTTTTGTGAATGGGAAGCCTTAGAATGCCAGCTGATGATCCCATCAGTGATGCCCTGGTCCGAGGCTGTCGGAGGCTTCCTCTTTGCATAGAGTGGTCTTTAATGATGGAATACCATCCTGCCACAGTCTTGGGTGATGACTTGCTCTTGCATCTTCAGTTATGCCCACTATGTGAGTTCTGCAAAACAGTCCACATAAAACCTAGTGGAATGACTGATACTTCCTCTCTACCGAGTCACTAAGTTCCCATTCCTGGACTCCAAACTAGGTATGTGCATATAGACAGTGCCAAAACAAGTACATAGTTCTCCTCCTCCACAATGCAATGTTGTCAATTTTTGTATCAGCACCACCCTGCAGTACTTTAGAGGACAATGTCCCTAAATGGGCATCCATGGTCAGTTTCTTGATGCCACATTTATCTGCACAGTTTCTGTTTTGGCAGCAGGGAACCATTGTATAGTTTCTGGAATATACATAGCTCTGATCAGCTTGTTTATCACCTTGGATGTCCACAGTTACAGTTAACCCCTTAAGGACCCATGACATGTGTGACGTCATGATTCCCTTTTATTCCAGAGGTTTGGTCCTTAAGGGGTTAAAGTGCCTCCACTTGGTGTTCCCTCACAAATTATTTCCCACCCAGGTAGGACCATGGAGTATCTTAGTTGTAAGTGGTGAAGCTCTCCCATTTATCCCAAATGAGCCCCCTCCAGAGTCGCAATAGGAAGGAGCAAGACATGTAATTTCTGGCATAGTATACGTGGGTACATCTGGCATTCCTTTGTCTTCTTCATAGGTCTCCTTGCCTTGTATTGTGCACTTTACTCTGTCCATTTTAGATCTCTATGTGAAGAAGCAAACTGCCCTTATTTTAACTTTTTAATCAGCCACCCTAGTGGGCTGTACCTGGATGTTGTTATGGTGCCAGGAGGCCCCTGCCGCACTCTTACCTTCAGAGGTTAAACTGTTCTTGAACAGTTTAACCCCAAAGTGAGCCACCGGTGCCAAACTCAACTACCCCACGTGGCTTCCACCTTCTAAAATGTCAGTTTCAGGAAGCTTGGAGTACCGCCGGAGAGAGCCGCCACTCATTGGCTGAGAGCAGTTAGCTGACGCTCCAAACCAATTAGTGACACTCCATTCATAAAACTAGCTTGAAAAGAAATGTACATTTTTCAAGCCATTTTTGTGAAATGGGAGTCACTGATTGTCATTTTTGTGAAATGGGAGTCACTGATTGGCTGAGAGCGTCAGCTGCTCGCTGTCAGTCAATCAGCGGTGCCATGTCAGGTGCTGCCTAGGGGAGCTAAGTATCGTCCCTAGAGGCTCACATTGGGGTATACATTTGCTGACTAAGCGTTTTAAATTCCAACCCCTTAAGATAAGAGTGAACCTGGGGGCCTCCAGGCACCATAACAACTTAATTATGATGGTGCCTAAACTGTCCCCTTAAATTTGCTTTGTAATATTTATTGAATAACCTGTAAGTCTACTGAGCAGCCATTAACTTGTGCTAACCTACGTGCCCCGATTAGCCATTGATTTTACAATGCATTTATCTTATAGGGTGTGCATCTAATTTACCGTGATGCATATCCATGCTTTTGTCTGTCAGAGCATCATGGGAAATAAAGTCCACAAAAATCTGAAATACTAAGATTAGTTGTGATTTGCTAATTACATTTCACTATTTGTTTATAAATAAAAGGCTCAAAGCAATCCACAAATATTTGCAGTCAAGTTAATCGTCATTATTACAATTTCCCTAGATGTTTATTTATTATTATCATTATTATATGAATTTCCCATGATTCAACGTCAGACTTTATTTGCAAAGTGGTGAATATTAAAGGGGTGCGGAATGAGGGCTGTTATCTATCTAACCACTGTAAGCTACATATAAATGTGACCCACTGTTTCCGTAAATGTAAATTATATCAATAATATAACATGTAAAGGTGTAATATTGTAGAAACTTACGTGCCACAAAGAATGATGAAATATTTAATGCATACGAAGAGAACAATATAACCGGTTGATATTCTGGTTTGAAACAGTTTGTCAGTTTGCCTAGTTCTGTGGTTTGTGAAAGGCTAAGCCGTGTGCCAAGACAAGGAGAGGAGTGCATTTTGTTCATAGTAGATAATATAATAAATCAAGGGTTTGTAACCGAGTAAACTTGCAGAAGCCAGACACAGAGAGATGGATGCAGGTTTTCAGGAAGTAAGAGGTCTTTATTAACATACCGATCGGGTCTCAGATGAACTAACGTTCCAAAACAGATCTGAGGGCCGAACACATGGAGTACATGCTTTTTATAGAACTATAACTCCCCCCATTAATAGCTCCATTAATAGCTCCACCCGCACATACCCGTAACCAATCAGTGGACAGGATTTGGATTTCCTTATATGGGCAGACCACATGGCTCATCCAAAACAAAGGAGAAAGGAGTGTGATTTCAGTTCCTGCATTCCTGCACATGCTCAGTACATTGATGACAGTATCTTAGTTACGTGTAACTAACTAACTAATACAACATACACATATGCCACGTGGAAATCTCGGCCTATTAAATTTACATTTCACCGAAATTCCATCACATTCCCCCCTTTGATGCCTCTGATACAAAATTATTCCTGATGCATCACCAATTATAGTTTACCAACACCTCTCAAGTAGCCATTGGACCAGAACAGACCTTGTAAGCATCTTAGCATCATCACAAACTCCTTCAGCATTCCTCATCCTGAATATGTTCTATTTGGGCTAGGGATTCATATCTATAGACAGCCATTACATGAGCAGCTGTCTTTCTTTCTATAGTACTCTCTATGATACTACGTATAGATCTGACCACTAATGCAATTAGGCAGGGCAGAAAGAGACATAAGAATGTAATGAATACTATTCCTCCAACTAACGCCTTAATCCCTCCAAGCTGCTCATACCAACTTCCAAACCAACTACTAGGATTATACCCATTCCAGACCTGAGTAGGTACATGTGTCAGTTTAACCATGTTGCTTGTAAGTTCAGCCACTGCCCATCCTTCATCATCTATGTGCAAACAACAGTTGCTGAGATTAAACTTTCCGCATACACCTCCCTCTACTGCTAATAGGTAGCCCAGAGCTAATCTATTTTGATAGATGGCTGATCTCATCCGAGTATTTTGCTTAGCAAGAAGATTAAGTGCTTGAGCTGTCTCATTACTGATAATTTCAACCACCGCCTGTAATCTTATAATACGGTTGAGCATATATATTGGGGTTCTATATCCATAGGATCCATATTCTGCCCAAGTAGCAGGTCCATAATAATTAATAATGTGTTGGGGAGGCCACTCATCATCTTCCCAGCTACCTATATTCAAGGATGCTCACTTCTTTTTATGATTTACATCATAAACCTTAACTCCCAAGGTCTCTCCTGTCTCAATTGGCAACAAGAAGAAGGATGGTTTGAGCATACCTAATACACATGCCCCTTCCCAATCTTGTGGTAACTCTGAATATGCTTTCTTACCACAGATCCAATATAAATTCGCTGGGGCTTTCCAATTGGATGTAGCAGATAAGTCAAACCATACCTCTTTTAAATGGGTGTAATTGGCAAACGGATTAGTAGGCTCTGAGACATTTGAAGCTGACCACCAAGTAGTATCTTTAGTATCGGCATTATAGGCTTTTTGTCCTAGACATATTAACTCGCCAACAGGTGTGGTATACAATGGCCCTTTCGAGGCTAAACATACATGACCTGTAATAGAGGTTTTTAACCGCCATTCTGATTTACCTCTAGTACTTACTTGATGATCAGACTGAGAAAGTATTTGTTTTTAATCTGTCTCAGAACCAGGGTAACATACTTCCTTTGCCTTCCATCGTCACTGGTCTCCATATTAGTACATCCACATACAAAGCAATTAGTTACATTAAGACTACCCGCAATACTCTCAGCCAAATCAATAAATAGGTTCTTAACATTATGGGAAATTTTATCCTCAACACTCATCTTCTCATAGAAGGAATGAAAAACCTGATGAGTTTGAGTTGCTATCATTTCAATTTCAAGTCCTACATATATTATGGTCACTGGATCTACTCCTGTGCCATATATTTGGAACCCAAATAGATTTCCAAACTTATCAATAAAATGTTGTGGATTAGAGATGGTCATATGGACAGGATTACATTCCATAGATTTACAGTGTGGTCTAGTGGGCAACCTTTAGATTATCATATCTTGATCCACTGTTTTTCCCCAGGTCGCCCAACCTACACAAGACCAATATGGACAAAAATTAAAATCCCTATTTGGGCAATCAGGATCAGTAGATCTTTTACTGGGACATAAATATTTATCATTAAACCCATAAATTCGTTCCCATTTAAGATTACCACATACATTCCAAGGTTTTCCACTACCAGAGATCGCCTTACATGCATCAAATAGTAGAATGCCCGTAGAATGTATGGTATTTATCACAGTCCTATTTATCAAGGTCCCCTGGGAGTTGCTGTTCCAAATTACCAACCAAATTGTACGGGGTTGGAATTGGGGATCAAAACATTTAGGCTCTCCTGATATTGGTTTGCACACACTGTAATCTATATCTAAATATCTACACTTAGATACAGATCCCCTACACTCATACTGTGAGTGCCAGATGAGAGTTTGGGATATTTGATTACCTGTTTTCGTAGTCTTGATGCAGCTAACACAAATCTGTATGTCCTCACCTTTACCTTCCTGAAAAATCACAAAAATGCCTAAACACATAAAATAACATATTATTTCAGAAGTCCTCATTTCTACTCTTCGACCGTGCGATGGCACCTCAGCTTCCCGATGGTGAGGGCTGCAAGGATTGTCATTCTTCTGATCCTCACTTTTCTTCACAGAGGTCCCTTCGAAACACTCTGGCTATGACATGTAGGTAGGTGGTCAGGCTTTATTATGGCCGTCAAAACACCTACTTGCTGATATCTGTTGTTACTTTCAACTAAGATATCCCAATATCTCCTCGTATTATTTCTCACTCCAACTGAGTTACCCGCTTTAACCGGATCTTGCAAGGATTTTCAGAATCTGGAATAGCTTTCCAAGAATCTGCCGCTGGTTTAACCCTAGAATGATGAATCCACAGAGTCACTTCTGCAACCTTTACAGCTGTTGGAGTAGATAAAATAAACATAAGCACTCCTCCACTTTGGACTTAATGGAACAATATTCCATTCTTTTAGCCACACTTGATCTCCCGGTTGATAGGAATGAACAGCTGGATATATGTTCACAGGTAACCTATCTTGCACCCATTTCTGTACTTGCTCCATAGTTTTACCCAACTCTACAACCTGCTGC